TGTACCACCTGTGTCTTTCTCCGTGAAAGAGTGGCTCGTGGTTCTTGGTTCAGCACAGCTCCGACGACACTCTGTGTCTGCAGGCTTTGCTGGGCGGGACCTCATGTACACATCACTCACGGCACCCGACAGGGCCCCAGGCCATCCTGTGGAGTGTTCATTTTTAAATATTATTGCATTTGCAGGGCTGGTTGACATGTTAAAATACACATTTATTTTACAGTGAAATTACATCTTAGCTTTGCCGTCTGATTTCACCTTCCTCAGTGAGGGATGTTCAGAACGTCCGAGTGCCCGTGAAGCAGCAGTGTATTTCAGTGAATCTAAGGCCGAGCGTGTTTTATCTGTTTCCAATGTGTTTTCACTTCTCCAGCTATTTACTGCTTGCTTTCTACCTATGTACCAAAATTTATGTACCAACACCACAGTAAAAAAAAAAAAAAAAAAAAAAGATGGTTGTAGTGTTTTTTTTTTTTTAAAGGAAGAGTCAGAAAGGGGACATTTGAATGCCTTGGCTAGTGGATCTTATTCTTAGTCAATTTAGAATTGCTTAAAATTGCAGTGTTTTCTCCACTGACCATACTCTGTCTGTCTGTCTGTCTGTCCCTATGCCCCTTTCCTTTTGCTCTCCCTAACCGGATGGGACCGATGGGACAACCTCTCTCTTCAGGAGCTGGACGAGGTATCGTGTTTTGAATATTTTTGACTATTAGGTCACTTTAGTTTATAAAAATCCCTGTTTTATCCCCTGGAGTCTTCGATGATGTATAAAACAGTAGCTGCTTCTAAGTGCTTGGCTACTTTATAATTGTGTCTAACAATGTAGTGCTGAGAATGCATTTTATGTGTCTTCACACCTTGCAAGCGCTGGTTTAGGAGAGGGTTTAGAGCGTTACGCACTGCCCTTGGGCAGCAGGTCGCAGTTCGGGAGCTGTGAAGTCTGTGGGTCCCTTAGGGCTCTGCCAGTGGTGCCGGATCTCCTCGAGGTGAGTGTGTAGGCACTCAGGTGGGGCACCGGGGCTGGCGTCTGGCTGCCCCTCGGCCTCACGAGCCCCGAGCTGTGCAGCCCCTCCCAGTCACTGGTATTGGTGTCGCGAGTGACAGTTCAAGTATGCCTCCAGAGCTGTCACCCTGGCCGTTTCCACGCTCTGCCCTCCCTGCACGTGCTTGGCCCTTTTATAGTTTTGCGGCCGGCCGGCAGGCAGAGGCTGTGTGTTCAGTAGCATCTCAGTGTGGTAGCTTTGATCGACGCCGAGGACCACAAGATTAAACTGCTGTGATCTTATCCTGCAGCTGTCCGACGGGACGAGAGGTGGGTAATGTCCCGAGGGACGTGCCTCTACAGACAGCTGGAGGTGGAAGGGTCTGTTTAGGGAGTGTGGCAGGTGAGGCGGGTCAGGTCCATCTTTAGAACCGGGGCTCCTACCCAGTAGTGGCTGAGGGCCTTCCCCAGTGAGGACAGCAGTCGGGTGTGCTGCTGACTCCGGCCCTCGCACCTCTGCTGCTATGCAGAGGAAGCCCTTCAGGGCCGCGCCGAGCTCCCGGACACATGGCTAAGTGAGGCAGCGTGATGCACATGGTGTGGTAGTGGTATCCGAGTGGCTTTTTTGGAGAGGTTTTTGCTATAGGGCGCGTGCGCTCGCCAGAAAGACAGAGACAGAGAGACAGAGAGACAGAAAGCGAGATATCACCCCCCGGGGGCGATGGCCACACTGCAATCCCTTCTCCTCCAATCTCTTCTCAGAATCTTGGGCACACACACACACACACACATGCCCTGTGTGAGTTTAAGCCACTGGGTCTGGGACTTGATCAGCGGTGGACTGCAGGGGAGTTCAGTGACATAGCCATTACGCCAACTGCTGGTCCCTCAGGTGGCTTTTAAAAAAAAAAAAGAAAAATACCTCGCATCTATATCGGGCCTTTGGAAAAGTCATGATGCGTTTTTGCATAGGAAAATGGGACTTTCCATTGGACCCAATATTCGCGTCTGCCTGACAGTTTCCGAGAAGGTGCCCACGAAATTTAACAGTAGATAAACTGCTCAGAAGAGCCCACTCTGTTGCAAACCCTTTCCTAAGGGGGGGTGTGTATTTTCACATTATGTGCATGGATCCCTTTTGTCACCAACAATTCATATTTAGAAACAAATTCTCAGTGGTCACCCCCTGAGCCAGACGCCTTGGCCGAGCCTGCTGGTTTCCTGTCCCCAAGGGGGGACCTCAGTGTCGCCACCCAGCCTGAGCGCTGGGCAGTCAGGCCAGCTCACACCAAGGTCCGGCTCTCTGGATGCAGTGGTGGACGGACTCGCTGACCAGACTTAGGATGTGAAGGCTTCGGGTGCAGAGTAGGCTCTTTTAGAATAGAGGGGCGTCGAGTCGGTGCTATTTGACAAATTGGGAACTTCTAACCCCCAGAGGAAGCGCGTGATGGGTCAGAGCAGCCTGGGCCGGAGCCTCCGTGCGTCCTGGAGACGGTGCCTCGCTGGTCCTGATCACTCGGGGTCTGCCCTGGGAGCTCGTTTTGTCTTTCCCAAGTCCTGTTCCAGAAACTGGCTGGGCCGTGGGGACAGTAGGCCCGCGTGCTTCCCTTACACCAGGCCTGTGGTGTTCAGAAGGGGCGTTCACGTCCCGACCAGCGACTGAGTGGAGCGTCGCTGTCTCCTCACGCCCTTGCTGCTGTCCGGGAGCACGAGGCTGCGGGCTCACCTCTGGGTGTCGTCCTGTCCTTGTCACCCCGATCCCCTCCCCTGCACCCTTCTCCTTTCACCTACAGCGTCTCCCGGCCAGGGAGCCGAGCTGCCAGGACTGGCCCTGGCGTAGGTCTGACTTCCCACGGTCCTGCGGCCCGCCATGGCTTGCTGTGGTACCCGCCGACTGGAACTGGGTACGATGAAGTGGGCCCCTGGCTGGCTTGCCAAGGCCAACGCTGGGTTTCAGATTGTCTCCTGGGAACAGCGAGAACATCTCAGAGTGGGAGGCAGTCACTCACCCTTGTCGGTGAGGCCGGGCCTGGCAGAGTGGCCTCAGAGGCTCTTATTCAGCCCGGCCCCCTGCCCACTGTCCGCGTGAGTGGGTGGCCGTCCAACTCCAAGTTCCCTGCACACATCACTCTTCGTCCTCCTCAGGACGTGCTGAGTAAGGTGTCACCGGGAAGAGGACAGCTGGACCTGCCTCCTGCTCAAGGCAGTGCCTCGCCCTCCCCTGCGCTCTGCCTCTGAGCTGCCTCCCCCAGTATGATGTCATCTCCCAAATTGTTGCTGTTTTTAATTCACAATAGGAACTATTAAAGCAGTCCAAAATGTAAAGGTCTAGCTTCCAAACCATACAGCCCACCTAGCAAGGGCAGAGTGAGGCTGTGGGCACCTGGGAGAGCCCCAGCAGGGCCAAGGTCCAGGCCATGGGCCCCCTGCCTGTCCACCTGGAGAGCCTCTGAGCCTGGTTGGGCCTCAGTGTCCCGTCTGAAATCTGGGGCCCTTTTCCTGAGGGTCGTCATTGGGACTGAACAGGATGAAGTCAGTGGAGAGGTTAGAGCAGTACTCGTGGGGGGCTGATAGCTCCTGCTCCCTACTTTTTTAAAGGGTGTATGTAGTAGTTGAGAAAAAAGGAGAATCAGTGAGACTAGCACCATTAGTATCAGCTTGCTGGGGACCAGCAGGTGGCATGGTGGTTAAGGCGCCGTACTGACCACGGTTCGAGTCTCGAACCTGGTGGCTTGAAAATCACACTGGGAGTGTGTGCGTGCTGCCCCAAATGCTGGGAGAATGGAAGAGAAGGGATTGTGGCGTGACCATCTCCTGAGGGGGTCATTTCTCAAATATTTTTGTTTCTGTATATTTTGTGCTTTTTAAAGTTTACTTGGAACATCTGTTAAGGATTTCATAGCAGAAAAGTACGCACGAGTGTGAATTGCCACAGGCCAGCCGCAGTGCCAGCACAGCCTGATTCTCCTTTCTCACGATTCTCCTCCCAGAACACCAGAACGGGGTTTTCTCAAGCCAGATTGTCTTAGGGAAGCCGGGAGCATTCCAGGGAGCATTCCGGGGAGCATTCCGGGGAGCATTCCAGGGTCTGGCCTTGGGAGAGAGTTCCAAGCTGATTTGGAAGTGCCTGCTGGACTCTGTAAATGCCATTGCTCGAGACAGTCTGGAAGCGTCAGCATTGTTCTCCGTAGCAGTGCGCTGCGGCTGGATGTAGTTACTTTTCTTTAGGGGGAAGGAGATGTGTGTGGCTTTTCCAACCTCCACAGAGGCTTCGCTGTCTCCTTAACCTTCCGGCCCACTAAATCAGCCTTCCTGTCAAGGCCGGGTGTGGGAGGGTGGGAAGGTCGTTTATTTGGAACAGCAGGATTTATGACAGGGGGTGTTCCTTCTATAGATCGCGCACATCCTCGCAGTCTGGTACCCTTTAACAGGACAGATGTCAACCTCTAAAGTGGGTCAAGGCCAAAGATACCTACTGAGACGGGCAGGAAAGCCGTTCGGTGTGCTGTGCTGGCGTTTTTCTGTATGTCCCTCGGGAGTGGTGGCCTGGCCGTGGTGCAGTTACCGTGGTAGTTGTTGGAGGGGCAGAACCATAGCTCAGAGATGAGAACTCTTAAATTCTTTTTTTTTTCCCCCAGGTTTTTGCTATAGGGCATGCACTCGCCAGAAGGACAGAGAGACAAAGCGAGAAATCACTCTCCCTGGGGGGATGGCCACGCTGCAGTCCCCTCTCTTCCATTCTCCTCTCGAGATCTTGGGCACGCACGCACATGCACCCGGCGTAGTTTAAGCCACCAGGTCTGGGACTCGAACTGCAGTTCACTACATGGGAGTCCAGCGACATAGCCATTACGCTAACTGCTGGTCCCAGTACTCTTAAATTCCTAATTCTCATAAATACAGTTTAAATTTTTTTTTTCCTTATCTAAAAACTCTGGTAAGATTCTTAAGCACAAGTTTGGTTAAGAAAAGTTTTTAATGACCAGCATCATGTACTTGGGGTAGTAGCTGAGTTGAAATTTGGCAAGAATAAGTGAAGAGAATTAGAGATTCAGTCTGTGAGGAATAGTGAGTCCACGTCAACCTTCTGTCCACACGTGGTTGGTCCAGAAACAGTGCAGGCAACTGTAGGTGGATCTTTCTAGTGTAATGTGGGTGTGAACTAAACACAGCACCATGGGAGAGCTTGAGTTTAAGAATGAACAGCACTGGGAACCAGCAGTTGCGTAGTGGCTATGTCGTTGGACTCCCATGTAGTCAACTGCAGTTCAAGTCCCGGACCCGGTGGCTTAAACTCACGCCGGGTGCATGTGCGTGCGTGCCCAAGATCCTGAGAAGAGAATGGAGGAGAAGGGATTGCGGCGTCAATCCCCCCTGGGGGGGTGATTTCTCGCTTTCTGTCTCTCTGTCTCTCTCTGTCTTTCTGGCGAGTACATGCATCATATAGCAAAAACTTCTCCAAAAAAAAGAACGAACAGCACTGTAAACAGAGCCTTACTGCTACTACTCTGTTGACATACGTGTAAAAATAGAACGTGTTAGATTAGATCATTAACTGGCGTGGTGGCACTTTGGTGGCCCATGAAGAGGCACCCTAGTCGTGTTGGGTTTTGCTCTGTGCAGACAGCTGCAGTTATGCGTTCATGCCTTTGCAGTAGCTCTGTGGCCAGCACCAGCTACACGACAGCTGGACCTGCCTCCTGCTCAAGGCAGTGCCTCGCCCTCCCCTGCGCTCTGCCTCTGAGCTGCCTCCCCCAGTATGATGTCATCTCCCAAATTGTTGCTGTTTTTAATTCACAATAGGAACTATTAAAGCAGTCCAAAATGTAAAGGTCTAGCTTCCAAACCATACAGCCCACCTAGCAAGGGCAGAGTGAGGCTGTGGGCACCTGGGAGAGCCCCAGCAGGGCCAAGGTCCAGGCCATGGGCCCCCTGCCTGTCCACCTGGAGAGCCTCTGAGCCTGGTTGGGCCTCAGTGTCCCGTCTGAAATCTGGGGCCCTTTTCCTGAGGGTCGTCATTGGGACTGAACAGGATGAAGTCAGTGGAGAGGTTAGAGCAGTACTCGTGGGGGGCTGATAGCTCCTGCTCCCTACTTTTTTAAAGGGTGTATGTAGTAGTTGAGAAAAAAGGAGAATCAGTGAGACTAGCACCATTAGTATCAGCTTGCTGGGGACCAGCAGGTGGCATGGTGGTTAAGGCGCCGTACTGACCACGGTTCGAGTCTCGAACCTGGTGGCTTGAAAATCACACTGGGAGTGTGTGCGTGCTGCCCCAAATGCTGGGAGAATGGAAGAGAAGGGATTGTGGCGTGACCATCTCCTGAGGGGGTCATTTCTCAAATATTTTTGTTTCTGTATATTTTGTGCTTTTTAAAGTTTACTTGGAACATCTGTTAAGGATTTCATAGCAGAAAAGTACGCACGAGTGTGAATTGCCACAGGCCAGCCGCAGTGCCAGCACAGCCTGATTCTCCTTTCTCACGATTCTCCTCCCAGAACACCAGAACGGGGTTTTCTCAAGCCAGATTGTCTTAGGGAAGCCGGGAGCATTCCAGGGAGCATTCCGGGGAGCATTCCGGGGAGCATTCCAGGGTCTGGCCTTGGGAGAGAGTTCCAAGCTGATTTGGAAGTGCCTGCTGGACTCTGTAAATGCCATTGCTCGAGACAGTCTGGAAGCGTCAGCATTGTTCTCCGTAGCAGTGCGCTGCGGCTGGATGTAGTTACTTTTCTTTAGGGGGAAGGAGATGTGTGTGGCTTTTCCAACCTCCACAGAGGCTTCGCTGTCTCCTTAACCTTCCGGCCCACTAAATCAGCCTTCCTGTCAAGGCCGGGTGTGGGAGGGTGGGAAGGTCGTTTATTTGGAACAGCAGGATTTATGACAGGGGGTGTTCCTTCTATAGATCGCGCACATCCTCGCAGTCTGGTACCCTTTAACAGGACAGATGTCAACCTCTAAAGTGGGTCAAGGCCAAAGATACCTACTGAGACGGGCAGGAAAGCCGTTCGGTGTGCTGTGCTGGCGTTTTTCTGTATGTCCCTCGGGAGTGGTGGCCTGGCCGTGGTGCAGTTACCGTGGTAGTTGTTGGAGGGGCAGAACCATAGCTCAGAGATGAGAACTCTTAAATTCTTTTTTTTTTCCCCCAGGTTTTTGCTATAGGGCATGCACTCGCCAGAAGGACAGAGAGACAAAGCGAGAAATCACTCTCCCTGGGGGGATGACCACGCTGCAGTCCCCTCTCTTCCATTCTCCTCTCGAGATCTTGGGCACGCACGCACATGCACCCGGCGTATTTTAAGCCACCAGGTCTGGGACTCGAACTGCAGTTCACTACATGGGAGTCCAGCGACATAGCCATTACGCTAACTGCTGGTCCCAGTACTCTTAAATTCCTAATTCTCATAAATACAGTTTAAATTTTTTTTTTCCTTATCTAAAAACTCTGGTAAGATTCTTAAGCACAAGTTTGGTTAAGAAAAGTTTTTAATGACCAGCATCATGTACTTGGGGTAGTAGCTGAGTTGAAATTTGGCAAGAATAAGTGAAGAGAATTAGAGATTCAGTCTGTGAGGAATAGTGAGTCCACGTCAACCTTCTGTCCACACGTGGTTGGTCCAGAAACAGTGCAGGCAACTGTAGGTGGATCTTTCTAGTGTAATGTGGGTGTGAACTAAACACAGCACCATGGGAGAGCTTGAGTTTAAGAATGAACAGCACTGGGAACCAGCAGTTGCGTAGTGGCTATGTCGTTGGACTCCCATGTAGTCAACTGCAGTTCAAGTCCCGGACCCGGTGGCTTAAACTCACGCCGGGTGCATGTGCGTGCGTGCCCAAGATCCTGAGAAGAGAATGGAGGAGCAGGGATTGCGGCGTCAATCCCCCCTGGGGGGGTGATTTCTCGCTTTCTGTCTCTCTGTCTCTCTCTGTCTTTCTGGCGAGTACATGCATCATATAGCAAAAACTTCTCCAAAAAAAAGAACGAACAGCACTGTAAACAGAGCCTTACTGCTACTACTCTGTTGACATACGTGTAAAAATAGAACGTGTTAGATTAGATCATTAACTGGCGTGGTGGCACTTTGGTGGCCCATGAAGAGGCACCCTAGTCGTGTTGGGTTTTGCTCTGTGCAGACAGCTGCAGTTATGCGTTCATGCCTTTGCAGTAGCTCTGTGGCCAGCACCAGCTACACGATTACTGGGAGCTGGGCATGTGGTTTGTTGCTCTGCCCCAATCAGGGTGTCTTCACACAACGTGCGCCTCTTGGTGACTTTGGGGCACTCCATCCATCGGACTGTCCAGAGGCGGCCCCTCCATGCCCGCTCCGTGTCTGCAGACGGTGGGCAGTGGGAGGGCTGGGCTCTGCTGCGCTGGCCATGCTCTCCGGAGGTCGCCCTGTAGTCCCTAGTGCATTTTTATTGCTGTTGTTTTGATCTGATGGCCTCTTGGCCTGCTGCTCGTTTTCTTAGCAAATCGCAGCTATTTTTCATGGGCCTGCCAGAGTGATTGGCAGCTTGTAGGGCGAAGGGGCTTCCGGAGTCAGCTGAGCCAGGTTCACTCTTTCCCCTAACAGCCTTGTGACCTTGGGTCAGCTATTTAACTTCTGAGTCTCAATTTCCATATTTATAGGTCGGAATAATTGTTCCCAGCTCACGTATTGGGTCATCGGAAAAGTCATGACGCATTTTTGTATAGAAAAACGCGTCATGACTTTTCCGATGACCCAGTGGTTTGATGAGGATTAAAATAGTCTAAATAACATGAAAGTTTTATTAGTGAATTCTTAAAAACAAAGGCGGCAGTGGTGGTAAAGGTTGAGAACGACCCCTCAGGGACTGGGCCTCCGTTGGCTGAAGAACTAAAATGACAGTGTGGTCCTTGGGCTAGGAGGGCTCCCTGAGCAGACTGAGCCTGGGGCCACCCTCTTGGTGTCCGCCAGGATTCTGCAGAGACCTCTGGGCCTTCACCTGAAGGGCTTTCTTACCCTAGGTTTTCCCTTTTGTGATAGTCACCCCCTTCATCTGTGGCCTAAGATTTTGTCTTGTTCCTTTATGGTTAGAGAACTAAGTATTTACCACATGAATGAAAAAGTTCAGACTAGTGCAGGGAGGGGAAGAGAAGCAGTAGAAGTTATTTCAGTTCTACAACAGGATTTGGAAAAGTGTAGATGGTCCATAAGGGACATTTGTAGCCTGTTTTCCGTTATATTTTGACCATCATCTGGATCTTTTGAAGCTGGCATGTAAAATTCTGAGCTCCTGAGCCACCTTAAGATCCTTTTGGGGGACCAGCAGTTAGCATAATGGCTGTGTCACCGGATTCCCATGTACTCGATCACGGTTTGAGTCCTGGACCCGGTGGCTTAAACTCACGCCAGGCGCGTGTGCGTGTGTGCCCAAGATCCTGGGAGGAGAATGGAGGAGAAGGGATTGCGGTGTGGCCATCCCCCCTGGGGGGTGATTTCTCGCTTTCTGTCTCTCTCTGTCTTTCTGGCAAGTGCACGCACCTCTCAAAAAAAAGATTATTTTGGGACCAATAGGTGTGTCATGGTTACATTGCTGGTCTCCCATGTGGTCGACCTCGGTTCAAGTCCCAGACCCGGCAGCTTAGAACTCACACCGGGCACAGGCATGCCTGCACAAGCCCAAAATCTCGGGAGGAAAATGGAAGAGAAGAGACTGCGGTATTGCCATTCCCCCTACCCCCTTCTCATTTTGTGTCTCTCTGGGAGCTTGTGCCCTATAGCAAAAACACTCTTAAAAAGAAAAAAAAATAGATCCTTTCAACTGTTCCTGCCTCTAGGCAAGAAAACGGCTTAAGTAGGCCCCACCACCCCCACCACAACTTCCTCCCATTCCGAAAAGCTCTCTAAGACAGTGTATTCTATAGTTAAAATAAACAAGAACTACTGATATCCTTTCAAAATAAGGGAAATGTCGCCTGGAGAAGCTTAATGGCAGAGAAGTGACATTTTAAGGACTGCTTTTGCTGAAGGTAATCTTATCTAAGGCAGTTCTGCATGTTCCTGGCTGTCCCTTTCACGTTTACTAAGGTAACCGCACCAGCCCGTTTCAGAAATGAGCTACTTGGAAGCGAGTAAATCTTGCTCTGCTAGAAGCTCTGCTGGAAGCTCTGCTGCTCCCCTTGATGGCTCCGTGCCTTTTCACCTGTGTCTGTCCGCATCCGCTCTAGAGGGCTGGCAGACCTGCCTGGTACTGATCGAGGGAGGCCTTTCTTTTAAGGGTCTTTCGTTGACTTTTCCATTACGTTTCTTTAGCCAGATCAAGTAAAATTCATGCTCATAGGTGTGTCCAAGCAAGTTAAGACCTAGGGAAGCAATTCCAACTCCTAGCAGTGTCAAAAGCAAGTTTATAAAGAAGGCAAGTGCACGTGCCCACGCCTTCCTGTATGTTCTTAAGGAGTAGCATTGGAATGAGAGGAAGACTGTGCTTCTCTAAATCAAATTCGAATGCTTTGTGAAAAGCCCCTGTTTCCCTGCAGCTCGCAGACGACCGAATGGCGCTGGTGTCAGGCATCAGCTTAGATCCAGAAGCAGCCATTGGCGTGACAAAACGGTCGCCTCCCAAATGGGTGGATGGAGTGGATGAAGTAAGTGTTGTAAATGTTAGTTTCACACCATCTCATTTTTGTAAAAGTAATTATGAGAGCAGATTTTAGGGGGTCTGCCATGTGACCCACTTTAGTTCTATTTTAATGTCTGTCCCTATAGATTCTTCAGCTGTGATTTATTCCCTGTACGCACCACAAGAAGCTGTGTGTGTGTTAGGGACTTGGGCTTTGGCTTTCCCGTAGCCGGTCACTACTGGAATTATAGGAGGAAATCAGAAAGCTGTACGACAAGGGGAGTACTATCTGATTTTCTGGTCACTTGAGTTAAAAATGGCTCACACGTGGGCAAACCGACACCGTGGCCAGGCTGAGCCCTGTGTTCTGAGGTAGCTGATGGCCTTGGAGGGAGGCAGGTACCTGCCAGGCCGCAGCGACGTTCTGGTGGCTTCATCTGTTCAGATACAATACGATGTTGGCCGGATTAAGCAGAAGATGAAAGACTTAGCCAGCCTGCACGACAAGCATTTGAACAGACCCACCCTGGATGACAGCAGCGAGGAGGAGCACGCCATTGAGATCACCACCCAGGAGATCACACAGGTGAGGGGGTGCCGCTCGGTCCTGCAGAGGGGTGCAGGTGGCAGGTGCTAGGCCGGAGTCAGCGGGCAAACTTGTGTCCTCAAGGTTCACTTCCTGCCCTGTTCACAGAGGTTCATGTCCCCACCGTGCTGGGGGGTGGGGACTGTCCTTCCCATGCTGGGAAAGTGGGCTGGCTAAAGAAAGACGGAGCCCGAGTGCCCCTGCGTCCAGTCAGCACATTTTAAATGTGTAACTTCTATTGCGTACTAGTGCTTAAATTTTTTTCACACTAAAATACAGCCCTCATAGTTGAAAAGAAACTCAGGGAACCAGCAGTTAGCATAATGGCTATGTCACTGGACTCCCGCAGTTCCCATCCCGGACCCGGTGGCTTAAAACTCACGCCGGGCGCATGTGCATGCGTGCCCAAGATCCCGAGAGGAGAATGGAGGAGAAGGGATTGCAGCTTGGCCATCTCCGCTGGGGAGTGATTTCTCGCTTTCTGTCTCTCTGTCTCTGTCTGTCTGGTGAGCACACGCGCCCTATAGCGAAAACCTCTCAAAAAACCCAGAAACTCAGCACCTGAGCAGACTTCTTTAAATAGTACGAGTGCTTAAACTTTAGTCCCTACTTTTTCTGTTTGTTTGAACCTCCTGGTTGCTAATATCAGAGACGGGGTTCGGTGGCCCTTTTGAGCCCTGAGTCTTGACAGTGTCGCAGTGGCAGGATTCTCACCTAGTCCCTCTGACCCCAGCGTCCTCCAGTGTGAAATGGGAATTGGAGAAATGAGTGCTTGCCTCGCGGGCCGTCTGTAAGGGCTCCCACGAGGAGAAGCCTCTGGTGTAAACAGGCCTCAGCTTTCCTCCGCCCGGCACCTTTCCCCATCCAGCTGCAGGAACAGGACAATCCCCCCTCTCTTCGCCAGCCTCGGGGCAGATGCTGGGGGGG